TTATAGCTTTATCTAAAACTGGGATTTTAAATCAACTGGAAATACGCAACTGCTATTTTAAATTCTAAGTGTTCTGTGTCCAAAGTCTTAGAACACATAAGCTAAAATACAAACCAATGGACTCTGGCAGTTGCTGAAGTGAGTTGCTGGATAAGAGTAGGTCTTGTAGACTTTCACAACCTGAAATACCTTCTTCAACTACTTCTATGTTGTTTTTAGAAACATCCAAGTAGGTCAGCTGTTTCAAAGTACCTATGAACTAAAAAGAAAAGGGGAAAAAAATTCTAGGGAATGCAAGTTACAAACAAAAATGCCAGTAGTTTTGACAACAGAGCTACTAAAATATTATGTCACAATGAAAGATGAAATATTTATAGGCTGGATATTTGATGTAAGATTGTATTTCAATCTTTACCACACACTTTCTTTGGTGCAGATATGCATAGTTGATCTGTTTCCACATCTACAGACACACTACGGACACACTACAGATATTCCACAGGCCTGAAATGTAGATACAGTCTTCCTGAAAAATTGAAGCTTTTGTTACACACACCCACATTCAGCTCTTCTCAAGGAAGGATTAGCTGAAGTGATACCAGGGTAGGGAAGACCACAGGTCAGGCAGAAAGCCCTACTGCTTTTCAAGACGCAAAGTAGACCAGCTGCTGACCAAATTTCCACTGCTGTGGAACTGTGTTTATGTTGTGGTAAACAAGTACTGCAGCAGTAGGCCATCCTTGACTCTAAAAAGATGCCAGGAACCTAGATCGAAGCAACAGAACACTTCTACAGGAATTTAGCCACGGTCTGCAGATACATAGCATAAAGATAAGAATGACAATTGCTTACTCTGCTGCAAAATTCATAAAACATTGAAAAAACATCTGTGAATTCCAGTTTGTTCTCTTATACAAAAAAATATATGTACATATATATATATTTTCCAGAAGGAAAGTTGGGCAATCCCAAAGTTGATCTAGGTATTTTTACACATCCATCTGCTGGGTTAGAAGAAAGATTTTATAACCTTCAGTGACAGAAGAGTCATGTAGTCTCTCAGTGACGATTAGTGGACAAGTTAAGCAGGTGCACTCAACCTTTTGGCTTAAGGCAACATTAAAAATATGCAATTACTCCAACGTAAAAGCCAGCTGACAAAACAAATACCAGTGTAAAACTGTAATAAAAACAAAAATTTAAATCAATAAAAAACCTTACCCCTGGGATAAGTGTTAGTCTATTACCATCCATCCAGAATTCCTTTAACCCACTCAGTTGTTCAAGTACTTCAGGCTGTAAAAAGGAAATTTTTAAAGCTTTATGCCAAAAAGGTCAAAAGACAACATAAGTTCAATGATGCTTATGTCTGCAATATGAAGTAATACCTTTCTATAGCTGTTAGACTTTTGTTCCATTGGATCATACATTTAAACTCAGCTATTATTACTTACTGAAATGTGAATTTACCCTAGATATACAAAAATCTCTTGAGAACTTAACCAGAGCACTAAATGATTCTTAGTAGAAAGGATAAACCACAGATAAACCACAATTCAGTGTGCAAGTCCCTCTCTCACATAGCTCTAAAAAAACTTCATTTTCATGAATTTAGAATAGCTTTTTTTTCCAAATAGACACAAAGTTGACAAGACACTGAAGTAGAAAACTGAAGAACAGATTTGAGGTTTTTTTTAGCAAACAAAAGATGCAGCTGTATGATGGCATACAAATCCTATCTGTGAAGCAAACTGCAGGATGTGCTCCCATTGCAAACTATTATTTTTTTTAAATACAAACATATTCTGTATTAACAAAAGACAAATCCTTTCAAAAAAAAAAAAAAAAAAGTGTTGCAAACTTTCTGTGCTTTTAGCAAAATATCTTAATGAGGTAAGCTTCCAGTACTAGGCTTCTCTAGATAAAGTTCTGGGAGAAATGAAGTAATCTGCCCAAAACAGACCCAGCCAAGGGATTTAACAGCCTATACTTAGTCCCTGACCATTCGCAGTTACTGAGGCCTGAGCATGTTAGTTTAAGGCTCTAACAGGCTGATCTACACTGTAATGAGCCTTGGGCAGTAACTGTAAGACCAATGAACAAACCCCGATGTCTCCTCTGTAACTGCCAAGCCTTGCAGCCCCACAAGTGTTAAGTGTGTCAAGCACAGCCTGACCCGTGGCCACAGAAGTGCCTGCTGGTGGCACAGAGGGCTGACTTCATTGCATGGCAGGTCAGGATACCTCTCCAGATTTTCAAACTGTTAAAACTCCTGTGCACATGAAAGGTTTAAAAGCAGCGGGATGTTATGTGACTATAAATGCAAGGGGATGTCTGTCTGTGACACCATGAACAGGAAACACGCTGATCCGTGCTGAAGGAAAAATGTGGGCACCTCAACTAAAAATAATACTTAGAAGAAAACTCAAGACAAATTTGTACCAAATTAACAAAACTTCCTTTGGATCTACGTAGTTTGGCCACTCTAATAAAAAGCATGTTGCCTACAGCTTACACAGAATTTGCAACATTTATGGCCATAAACGGAAGCATCAAAAGTTCCACAGGATCTTAAGGGAAAATTTTCTTAACAGTGAGGGTGACAGAGCACTGGAACAGGCTGCCCAGAGAGGTTGTGGAGTCTCCTTCTCTGGAGATCTTCCAAACCCGCTTGGACGCAGTCCTGTGCCACGTGCTCTAGGTGACCCTGCGTGTGCAGGGGGGTTGGACTAGATGACCTCTAGAGGTCCCTTCCAACCTTAAGCATTCTGTGATTCTGTGATTCTATGAACAATAATAATTTAAAGTTTATTATAAGCCAAACCATTCTGTCTGTAACTTAGACCTAAAAAAATTAACTTCTTGCCAATACTTCAGTCCCGCCATACCACAGTTTTATTTTCAAAGTAAGAAATCAAACAAACTTAAGTATAAACATACAATTTTTTAAAGAGGTTCCATAAAATAGTGTACAGTATATAGAATCTTTGTTCAATAGCATATTTTCACAATTTGATGTTGACTAAAAATAGATTAAAAGATACAGAGAGATCAAAAAGATTCAAAGCTCTGCTATTTCAGTAAAACTCACCACTTCTGTGAATTCATTACTTCCTAAATCCAGTCTCTCCAGCTGAGTCAGTCTGGACATGGTTCTGCAGTGGAAGGGGATTAATAGGATTTAAGATTTAAGAAAATGCCAGTTACATCCAACCTTTCTGTATTCATACAGATATATCCTTTTAATCAGTATTAAATCTTGAAGTTGTTCTGTAACCAGACGGTAACCAGTAAGGTCAAATTTCCTTCATCACTCAACGAACATGCCAACAAACCAAGAGTCTTGTACAAAGCATCTATAGATTAGTTCATGAGAAAAAGAACACTACAACCATCTTTATGATAAAGAGTATCTCAGTAATATTGCTCTCTTTCTTGACTGCCACAGATTTCCTCCTAAGGTCGTGATCACCAGAGAGTTCTCCAAAAAGCTACAAGTGGTTAACATTGTATTTTCCTCCCCAAGAAATAGTTAATTGTTAACTGTGTAATAGTTAGCTAAAGCAGAAAAGATGACCATTGAATCACTGTAACAACCAACACCTTTCAGCCCTCCCCAGGCTGTTCACACAAAGTGGCTTCCGCTATGATCTGGAATCCTAATTACTTCTCTAGTCTTAAACTATATTACTAAACTGGATTTCATGACAGATCTATACTCTTTAAGCCAACTCCTGGCAAAGGCTAAATGAATGACTGGAATAATCATTAAAAAAAAATAACTTTCTTCCAAGGTGTGTTTCTGCAAACTTTTCCTCCTATTTAAGTTTGCTCTGGGGACACCATATATGCTCAAAAATAGTCTGCAAATAATTCACCCATATTTTCTTTCCTTCCTGGCTGGAGTTGGGCTTTTTCTGTTCCATTGCAGTGCATAAGATCATTCACTACATTTGCGCATCAAAACTTCGGGTAGTTATCATGCAAGTAAAATTCACACACCATTAAGAACAGTTACTTTATCACCAATTTATTTTAAGCTTCCAGAAAGGCCTTAGAAAGCATTACAAGCTGCCAGCAGGATAATTCAAGGATTCCTCAAGCATTCCTCAAGGGGCTCCCCCACCACCGCCACGAAGGCAGGCACCATCACTACTCTTTGCAAGATCCCTTATCGCCCTTGGCTCCCCAAGCTGTTTGCTTAATTTACACTTGCTTCAAATAACATCGTTTTACCTTTCCCATATTGTTTATAGAGCCACAATTGCTTCAGCCAAAAAGCAAAACATCTAAAATACTGAAAGCATTAAAAGTAATAGGAAAATTCAGCAGAAATTGAAGAGGAGTGGGTGAATACGGGACTGGAGGGGAGGGAGGAGAGGATCTACTAGATCACTGAGTCACCGCATCTATTTCTACCTCCGGCATTGCATTATGTAAGCTCTTTCATAAACTTCTAACACTATTCATAATTCATATTATTGAAATTGCTGTCAAATCAATGTCACGCTAACAGAACAGGTACTCTAATTACGCCTCACATTCTGAGGCTGTAAATAGATAACTTCACCCAGGCTAACAATACTACCTGCTTCGAATAGCACAGAATTCAGGAGGCATGAGTGATAGCAAGATTAGGCCCTGAATCATCGTAATTACCCTCTCAAATCAATTGCTTCTTTTTAAAAGCTACTCTTTTTATTGACAATCAGGCAGACATGCTTAAAAATTAAAAAAAAGAAAGAGTGAAACTTTTAAAGTTCAACATTTTCTATGTGCATCAAACTATATTCTCAACTTTCAGGTACATGGCAGAGGAACTGCCTCTCAAATACTCTCTGCACACTTTAGCTCTCCTTTCAGTAGAAATATTTTTAGTGAGCTGGTCTGCACTATGATACTGCCAGTTTTGCCAGTCTCTGGCTATGGATAAGCTCCAAGCAAAATGATGCATTTGGCACAAAACAAGGTTGACTTAGCATTTTGGCATTGATTATCTGTTCTGATTAACAGTCTTCCAAGTGCTTTACACTTCTCTGTTAAAAATTACGTGCATGCTGAATTTAGCAGGAAGGCTAGGTTGACATTGTAAAGATTTTTGCATATATACTTATGATTACAAAAACAAACAAAAAAACCCTAATTATGAAAATATTGAAAAAGAGCTGCAATGAAACAAGAAATTTTTAAAAATATGTTTTATAGTAAAAATATTTGCAAGCACCACTACATGCCATCAGCTTCAACAACGCATTTGATTTTCTGAGCTACAGTTTAAAGCTATTCTGTTTAAAGATGTAGTCCACGTTCTTTTTGGAACATATATTCAGGTTTTGAAAACTATGCAAGCTAGAATATCACATCAGTTTCTGGTTTGACTCAATAGCTAAAAGCAAGGTCATAGACCACTTTGTGGGCTAGGCCAATTAAACAGATGCATCTTGCTGAAAGGCAGATTGACCTCTTGCATACAACTCACACCATAGTAAGTTTGTCTCCCTAGTGTACATCAGACATAAACAATGTATTTTTCCAATGCCTCAGTGTAGTAGAATGTTTAATTATGTGTTTAAATTAAAAATAAGTAGTCTCAATAGCTTTAATCTCACTTAATTAAAAACCACAGGAGCACCAGAAGAGAACAATTAAGATGGCAGTTCAGCTTGTACTGTAGCTCATTAGGGAAATACTACTGAGGACATCCTCACAACAGCTGAGTTTAGTTAGGCAGCTAAGGGTGAAACCTTGGAAACACTGAAGTCAACAGGAAAAATTCCCAGCAACTCCAACCAGAGTAGTAGCATTAGGCTGGAACACATTACAGCATTCCTGTAAAAATGTCTTATCAGTACAAGAGTCTTCTGTGAACTACTTTGGAAAAAAAAAGAACAAAAGTAGGCAATTCATGCTATTAGCATTAATTATGGCAATTAAGGTCAAGGTAATTTCATAAACAAAATCTACATTGTTTGTTTTAATCATAGCTACTGTTCCTCATTTAGGAGTAACAATTTACATAGCCAGCATCCCAAATTACATATCCTCTAATTTTGCTACTGAAAATGAATGATATCATAAATAATAAAGAAAGATGAAGAAGTATTTGCAGCAGATGAGTAAGTAACAGAACTCACATGGTAAAAAAAATTTTAGCTTACTCTTGCTAGTGCTACAGTTCATTCCAAATTGGAGCTTTGGCACTTTGACACAGCAGTCACAGTATGGTACGTAGACACCAGACCAAAGTGGCACACAGCTCTGACTGAATATGCTTGCTTCTCATGTTAGCACAAAGCTGACTGGAGTCACCAGGAAAACTCGTTTCTGCACTTGAAGGGCTCACACCTCATCTGATTACATAACAAGTCTCTGCTAGCACCTGAGCTGGGCAGCAGGAACCTTCTTGTGTTGGCTCCTTCTCTTCTACCTCCACAGCTGAGAGCTGCACCTCCTTTTACCAGTTTCTGCTGCTAACGGAGGACATCTTATACTGCACCTCACAGCATATTCAGCACCACAGAGCTGGTTGTTCATGCCCCACCACTGCAATCTCTGCCATCCTCCTCCCTGACCTGCAGTCTCCTGTTGCACGCTTAGGCCTCCAGGTCCAAGCCAGTACATTCACAGCACTGCTCAGCTCACATATACACAGGAAATACAACATTGTCATGACGAGTTTGCTTGGTGCAAGGGTTGTGCAAGACAGAGCTTAGGAATATTTTTAAAAAAGCAACACAATTCAACTCTCACTGTTAATCTAGAATACTTCACAATTACAGAAAACGTGGCTGAGGAAAATACTTCCGTTATGGAAGCCTGGAATGTTACAGAATATGTACTGTGTAAACAGATCCTATGCAACATAATACAAAACAATTACTTTTTTCTTCCAGTAGTGAAATACATAAACAATAATAAAAAAATGTTTCCATGGTGTGATTCATATCCTCAGTCATTCTGAACAAGCATCTCAAACCCCACATTTCATTTAGAGATTTTGGTAGTTAAATACCAATGCCTGAGATTCAGGCACTCAGCCACCACAACAGGACCCCAACAAGCATCTGAGCCCCAGCACAGTGCAGTAGGTGGAAAATGGACACCTCAGAATGATCATCCTGAAACACCCATGTGCTGACTTGAAAGCTCTATCAGTGCATCAGAAATCCGCAGAACCGGATAGAGACAGACATCTTCATGTACAGAAGGGGGTGCCAGGGAAAATAAAAGCATCAGTATGAAAGGGAAGCCTGAAGGGAAAGACCCTCTTGTTACAGAATCAAAGTGCCAAGTTAGCAAAATATTAGTAGTAAAATTATTACTAATAGCAAAATTAGTTAGCAAAACATTATTAGTAAAGCCGAGGGAAAAAAATCTAGAAAATATTTTAAAACAATTTAAATCTGTACTTACTTTGGCAATAATTTTAACTGGTTTTCTCTAAGTTCCAATATCTGTAGTTTAGTTAATCTGTAACAGAAAAAGAATAACATTATCACAGTATACAGTATTTTGTGACAAATAATCCCAGTACTTGCTTATATTGTTAAGCTTTGGTTTTATAAAAGTGGATAGGTTGGGAATAATTGTTGTTCAAGAATACAAACGTGCTTTATCCAGAAATCAGTATGTCATTCTCTTCACTACTAGGATTGGGTTTTTGTGAAGCAGCTGACATTGCTTTTCTGCATCTTCTTGAATTTTATTTATTCCTGCATCCTATTGACAGCAATCATTTGACTGGATTCATAATGAGCATATATTAACCTCATATACAAAAATACACATAAAATGAGGAAGAGATTAGTAAATAAAAAATAAGACACAGAATTTCTAACAGAGGCCTATGTATTGAATGTTATCACATACTCTTACAAAAAGCCTCCGAAGAGCACCTGGTCTTCTCTATGGTAAAAATGACCTTTAAATTCCTCTTGGATTTCCTTTCCTTTCTGCTTCTAGTCAATTGCTTAATTCATTTTGATATTTTACATTAGAATGCAGTTTGACCTCTCTTTCAGAGAATTTTTATGCAAGATAAAATAACCTCTATCTCTCTGAATTTGACTGCCTGGCCGAGATAAGTTCAAAGCAGCCTTGGCATTCAAGTAGTTCACAGTTTCCAACAGAATTTTGTTTATTAGGACAAAAGTGACAAGACTCTGTCTTTATTAAATGAAACACAGTAATTGAGTTTGGCTTAACTCAGAGAGGGTCATAAGCACAAAACCTTCCCGTGACCACCTAGCAGCCCTTGTACACCGCAAAAACAGGGTAGTAAGCTGCATGACTCAGGAAGGAGTGAACAGCACAGTCTTTCCTGAAGGGGCTCACCCAAACATGGTATAAGGAAGCAGACAAAAAGCTTAATTATTATCAAGTAATAAGAAGTATATTTATAGTAAAGATAGAAAGCCCGAAAATATTTTCCCCCTCAAAACATTCTCTCATTTATGGATAATTTCAAAAGAAGCGATGAGCTGCATCTATGAACAACTTAACATTAACCTTGAAGCAGAGCAGAGGTCAACCTAGCCCAGCATTGCAAGCAGTAGTTGCCATCTGGTAACAACTGCTAGAGGAGAACCTTGTCTCCCTGCCTTTTCAAAAAAACAACCTTTTAATGATGCCAAAAGAATGCCCTAACATCCTTTGGGATATCTTACCCATTACAATAGCTGTGAAACTAGCACGTACCAAATTCAGCTCAGACAACGCTTCAGGGAACTGCAAGTGTCCAGAATTACAAAGCACTAGGGACCTAATTTTGTACTCTTCTACTTACATGCTGTAACACAGCACAACAAAATAGCCTGCCTTCAAAGGACTGTCCTGGAACCAGTTGTGCCTCTTCTCTAGCAGGAGGAGAAAAATGTCTCATATCCTCATCATCAGCCCAAGCAAACTGAGATTATTGCAAAATTTGTATTTTTCTGGTCTCTTCTTCCAATACTAGGAAAATGATAGGTTCTTCTATTGGTCCATTGCATATCAGTACCTTTATTAATGACAATAAAGTTCATACTGTTTGCAGTTTTCATTATTAATAATCAATATAAAGGATTCTCAAAATACGTCAGAGAATAATCTGCAAGAAGGAAGCACAGTAGTCTTTTCTCTTTGGAGACTGCAGATGTTGCACCTGATATCCCTAATGATGTCCCTTACTCAGCAACAGCTCGCAATCTCTTTTGGTATTACAGCACCCCATTCCCACCTCAGAACGAGACTAGTCTTTGAAAATGCAAAGTGCTTAGGAATACTGCAGAAGAGGACACACACGATTTTCCCACCGAGATACCAATTCTTCATGCACTTGAAAGAAGTGATATCAGCTCAACCTACCCAATTCTCCTGATGCAGATTATTAGCTCCTCAAACATGCTCAGTTTTCAGTAGATTTATAGCAGGGCTGTTTTTTAACAATGATTTAAAAATAAATTTGCACATGCAAGCAACTCCAGAATCCTTTCTTCTGAGGAGTCTTCAACAGTCACACACTGGAGCACAAGGCCCAGCTACTGAATTCCTTTGAGGACAAGGAAAATTGCCAGGCAGTGGCTAGTTTATCTTTGCAATATACATATGCAGTCAAACTGCAGTAGAGGGTAGTGAAAGCCAACCTCCAGTCATACACTGAACTGTGTATTAGCAAATTCACACTTCACTGGTTTTAGCCTGAACTCACCCTATTACTCTCTTAATAAGCTACTTCTGTGAATTTAAAGACTGCCTTTGGTGATAGAGTTAGAAATCTTCACAGCTTTGTGACTCTGTTTCATGTGCTACTGTCTCATCCTAAAAGACTGGAGATATAAATATCCAATTCCTCTTTGTGTGTAGGGCAAAAAGGTTACTAGAGAAACATTTTTAGCCTCTGCTGCCTGGAAGCTATAGGTTGCATCTCAACTAGCAATTTTCTTGCAGTATTTAACGAGAAGCTTTGGCCTGAAGCAGTTGTCACTTCTCCCCTTATGTCTGGGAGGGTTAATTCAAGTTTAATATAGCAACACACATCAAATACTCAGCCCTGCTTTTAATGGCTGGTGCAAACTTACCCACACTTAGAATTTGTATCACTCTAATGGCACTGAAAAAGCAGGTTTTAATTTGGGATAGAAGCATAGACCAGCAGTCCACCAAAAAACTAAGGAAGATAAAAGTCATAATGGTAAAATTTACTTTACCATTTTACCGAATACTTGTAGGAAAATATTCCATTTCTCAATTATAAGAACCTTTAACCACAGAAATGCTTTAAATGACCTTAAAACAAAGCTAAAGGCAGCATTATTTAAGTATATTTTATCTCAAAAAAATAATTTCAGGATTGTTGTTTTAGGCAAGCATTTTTTAATATGTGGCTTATTTATCCCTCTCTCAGCATCCCTCCACCCCCCACCGCCCAAAAAAAGAAAGAAAAAAAAACGAGACCACTATATGAATATCTTGTTCAGGGTATGCTCAATCATTTTCATAAATCTGAGTTCTTTTCTTTCAGTAGAATTGGACACTTGTTACTAATTAGGTCTCCAATTGCAGCATCATTGTTCATTTATGCAAAAATGAAAAAGAGCCTAAATTAGATACTAAAAATTTTCTTTGCTTATGCCCTACAAATTCTCAAAAAGAAGACTGCAAATTAATTCACAGCAACAGCACAATAAAAAAAAAAATCTCTGAAAGGAAAAGCAATTATCTCACTATTGACAACATTTTCCAAGTTTTTAAAAAGATGCCATGGGCTGAAAATAAGTTCGTTGCTTATTCATCAGTACAACTTAACCCTGCTTCTCTCTTATTTCCCCTCCTACTTCTGTAGCACACTACTTGTGTGCTATAATCGATAAAAGAAAAAGTAATTGCTATTCAAATCCCCTGTTCTTCAACAAAAGCATAAACCAGGAGCTACCATACCTTTCCTCTATCCCATTTCACATAGAGGAAAGTGCCCTACAAAGCAACCAAAGAAATAAGCTGCAGTTATGACAGCTGTGCAGGCATAGCCAACAATTATTACTTTGCTAAGAAATCAGAACCTACTTTACATAAAAGTCACAGTTTAAGCCACCCAGATTATCTACTGTATTCTGTTTAGTGCAGCTATCGGCTCTTGTTTCCTGATAGGTAAATAAAAACTATCAAAATATTATCCTCCTATATCTCAACATTAGCTTCCTGTGAGCTTCAAGTTTTGGAAGCTGTACTTTCTGCATTTGTATATTTGAATTTAACTACGTATTATGTGCTTAATAACAGAAAGATTTCTTCTTCGGTAGCCGTAACACCAACAGATCTCCAATTTGTGCGCACTGGCAGCCTGGTTACCTCTGGGATCCTGGCCAGTCTTGAGGAATGCAAATCAGAATTTGGGAGTGGAGGAAGCAGTGCTTCAGCGCCTCAGGATTCCAAAGGACCTGGCACGTTTAATGACTAGTCTGGGGATTTTTAATAAGCCTAACAGGCTGGGCTAATACGTTACTGAAAGATAGCAAATATATAATACGCATAGAAGGAGAAAAAAAAAAATCAAACAATCTGAGGTCTTTAACCTAAGCTCACTATTGTGCAAAGCTTTAACACAAATTCTGAAGGACAGAATCAAACATGGCAGCAAACACATTGTGCCAACAGTAATTTGCATGACAAAAATTTCCTTTGCTATGTGTTAGGTGGCAGGTTACTGACAGAGGTACTCAGAGACCTATTTTGGGACTCATCCAGTCCATTACTTCTAAAGCAGCATTCTTAACGCAAAGCACAGAAGAAATGTGTTGGCCATGCTGGCTGATACAACAGAAAACAGCAGTCACTATCAATGCAGAGAATTATTAGGACTCTCGAAAGAAGAAAAACACAGCCTTGAGCACTGGAAAAATATGGACTGAGATGCCACAGTGTGAAGTTCTATACTTAACATTTCCTTAGTGAGTCACTGGTCAGCTCAATTCTACTGCTCAGGGCACTGATTGATCTGGGGGGAAACAATATTGAGCAGCTGCAAAAAAAAAGGTGGTAGAACGCTAGCATGCAGCCACAGCCATTTCCAAGAGAAACAAGTTATCATGACACTGCACAAGGCCATGAAAAGATCTTGATTTGAACTTAAAATATAGCTCCGTACGCTGTCCTCTTGGAGGGGGAAAGCAAAAAGCAAGAGATTGAGATTCAAACTGGAACAGATGCATGAAATGATAACTTGAGGGCTAGTCCTGGATGGAAATAACAAAAAGAGATCAATATCCTGAAAGCTTCTATTAGTTATTTTTGCAAATGCATTCTTGCATTCCAAAGTATAAAGTTATATCTCAGAGCAAACGCAAAAGTTTTTATGTTTAATTACAAAGCTGTGGGATGGTAACATAGTCTGATCATCATCCACACAAGGACTCACTATCAGAAGAGGCTGAACATCAGTTGGGAAAAATAATGCTTAATACAAGATCAAATGAGGCAAGCATTAAATCACCATTTTCCCTTTATATGTATATATGCATGGCAAAAAAGGAACAGTGACATCAATTAATTTTTACTCAGATACCTCTAAATTAAAAACATTTTTACCAAATGCCAAACATTACTCAATCTCAATAATATGAAGCATATTTCTAACTGATTTATTCCTCAGTTAACAGCTTATTAATGACTTCACTACTTGCCTAACCATTAATCAAGTTACAGTCCACCAGAGGTGATACAGAAGACAACAGTTTTAAAGAAAAATTACAATGAAACTGTGGTGGATTTTTTTAAAAACTATACTTAAGATTTAACTTCTCAGAAGATCAACTGTGTCAATCTTAAATCTTCATTCTTAATTGTTTTGTACTGAAAAAAACCTGCCCTTTTGGTTAGAAAATGGACAGAACAAGGTGTACGCAATTATTAAAATACTCAGGGATAAAAAAGGCCAGTCTCACAGATATTTCTTTCTATCAAATTTCTGCACCCCTCAGCCAAGAGGTTTTCCTGACCTCCTGCAAGCTGAGCTGACCCAACTAGTACACAACCTAAGGCAATTGCTTTCACAGCCATATGTCTAGTTAAATAATAGCCATATTTCCTAAAAGAAAGGCCTGTTGGACATGGGATAGCACACAAGAGCTGCATGCACTAGGAAAGAGAAAATTGAAAACAATAGAAGCAAAACAGAAATAACTGTACAGGAGAACAGGAAGAACAATGCTCATCTGTGAGTCCTTCCTTTTAGTTATATATTTTACTCGAAAGATTATATTCATTTTTTAAAAATAGGTGGTTTAGTATTTGTCTCATTTAAATTATCAACTGCAATAATTTTATTTAGTCCTGCATACCATGACTCTCAGACAGATTCCTGACAGTGGAGGAATTACAGATTTTCCTAAGAAATCTGTGCATCCCAGAAAGGACAAACAGAATGACAGATGTCATTCTAGCTCCTTTCAAGCTTCTAAAAGATGACCAAACTACTTCAGAAGTATTTGTCTCCCACACCTGTACTTGAGTGGTAAATACAGCAAGTATATAAATAGGTTTTATTTCTTGTCTCTTTATAAACATTGTCTTTTCAAAAGCCCAATGACAGCAATGGTGATAAACATTTAATATATTAGTTTAAAAAAAAAAACAAACTAAAGAATGTACACTTCATCCTCTTCCCTTGACCTCTGACTTTACTTGAGAAGCAGCAGAAACTGCTCTGCATAATTCAAAAACGAATGTAGATCCAAGCTTCAGACTCATCTTACCTGCCAAAGTTGGCTGGCAAAAACTCAAGAAAAGCATCATTCAGGTATAGCTGTGTTAGGTTTAACAGTTGGGAAAATCCATCGGGAAGCCTGTATAGAAAAAAAAAAGTAGTATTTTGTTTCACTAATATTCAGTGCTTTGTCATCCTTTCTTAAGCAGCAGCACAGCATTGGAGTGCAATTGTAATATATTGATAGCTTTTAAAGTATTCCCAGAACTTTTATAAAAATGCATGAGTTGGTTTGCTGTAAAAGTAGTTTCAAATTTATTCTTTAAATAATGAAGGCAATATCTACAGGCAGTAAGAACAGACATCATCTTCCTACTTATTTGTGATCTGACACCTAACATAGAAGATTCACTCACTAGAGATGATTAAATAAATTAAAATCTACACAATACTGCTTTTTACTCCCAAGGCAATTACTTCTAAAGCAAATTTCTATCTCTACAAGTGCTACTTCTGCCAGGTTAATTTTGTCACCATACAAGGCAATAGCAAATCTCTTCCTACATGCTGGGTTTACACAACAGCTCTATGGGCTTACAAAAAAAAAAAAAATATATATATATATATTAAAGAAGCAGCATTCTCAGTATATTTGTCTACCTTTCAGAGAAGAGATGGACCAAAAACAAACAAACAAAAAATCCTGGAAAAGCCATATGTCATAGAGCAGTGCTCTTCATATAGCCAAATTATCCACACAAAATACTTCACTGACAACCATGCTGTTTGCCGGTGCAATGAGGTAAATGAAGACATTTGTTCACTTGAGTAAAACTACTCAGATAATTCTGCTCCCGGCCTTCATTTCCAAGGTCTGGCTCACAAAAAGTGGCATGGGATATGTTTGAGACTCAACAGTGTTTGGATAAAATATAAAATATCACAAAAATAAACAAACTTACTTGGAAATTGGATTTACGCTGGCTTCAACAACTGTCAAGACTTTACAATTCTTTATATTTTCTGGAAACTCCTGTATGCCTGTAAAAGTCAAAAAGAGGTAAGAAAGCAGTGTTAAAATATGAGACTGCCTCACAAGATGCACAACACTTGTTTATTAAAAACAAGCAAAAACCAAACAAACAAAAAGCTCCCACACTTACGCAGTTTATCATTCTCTTCTTATAGCATTTTAGACCACAACTTACAAAGCAGCATTAGAGACAGAGTGCACTTAAAATTCTCGTTGCTCATTGTCAAATATTCGTCTATCATTTTGCCAAGAAATCAGGACTTCATTCCCAATTACTGCAGATATATATTTTTTTAATTAAGGTCTTTCACATACATAGAGCAAAATTTCGAAGAGGATTTGTTAGGCACCTGCATGGCTTGTATGACATTTGGTTTAAATGGTGAAACTTCACCTCTTGAAGTAAATTTACAGCACTCAAACACTCTGAAGAGATCTCCCAAAATGTGACACATATTTGATATATTATTAGCTTCAGACTGGAGTAAGTAAACGTGCTGCAAACACCTTTGTCAGAAGATCAAAACATTAAGAAAACTTTTTTTTCCGAGGTTAGCTCCAGAAATGTCAGAGAGCAAATTTGTAACCCACAGATCTGCCAAAATTCCTCTTCATCAGTGGATGACAAAACACGCTTTGAAAACAGAACCTGATCATCAGCTGCACTAGTAGATCAGCACCAAACCATTTTGCTACAGAACTTCACACTAATCTCTCCTATCCAGTGAAAACAATAGAATGATGGTATTACAACTACATTTCCTTTTGCATTATACCACAACGTTGTTGTTCTACCTTAAAGCAGGCGCTCGTAATTTAACTAAGCTTGACACAACAAACATTCATATTGCAATATTTTGGCATGGATTAAGCAGATGTTCATCAATCACTTCTTAAGGCATATGCTAGTAACCGAAAGGCAGTTTAAAACAACAGTAGCAAACTGCTACTTATCTTGCAGTGAAGGGATGTAATTTTATCTGCTTCTAAAGCGCTGAACAGGTGCATGGGCAGGGCAGCCTGAACCTATGGAGCAAGCCAGCTAAGAAGCAACTGCCCTCAGTGGATGCTCTTTTTTATTCCAGGGGTAGTGGCATTCCAGGCTACTCGCAGCAACATTAACGCTCTTACAGTGCAGCTGCAGGGACAAGTACAAGGACAGGGTCGTCTGACTGAGACTGGCAGGTGGGATTTTGTGTCTCTGCTTGTGTATGTGTCTGGCAACACCAAAACAAGTCAAAAATAGCAAAGCGTCAACGGCAATGTTGATGTGAGAAAAACTATTTTCTCACAATAGCCTTTGATTCCTTTCGTGTTTGTGCAGTAAGAAAGTCGAGCTTGTAGATAAGAGATCATTATACTACCTGACAAGAAAATTGGCCACAACACACATACTTTTACCTTACATTAATTAATGATGTTGAGGAAGAAAATCACTATGCCCATAAATTCTGTCTAAATACAAACTCTGATTCTGCTAAGGGTACTTTGAGAACTTGACCCAAATCTGTTTGTCACTCCAAAAGGCTGAAGCTCTTGCTTTTGACTCATACCAGGTGTTGTACTCTGTTCTTCAGAGATGAAAGGCAAGAGAAGCACGCTAAGCCACACAGTTAATCCAGATGCTTAAATACTTATTTTAAGTATCATGGATCCTTTTAGGAAATAGCTCATTGAACTAAAGGACAATTAAGAATAGCAGGGAAGGTGCAAGCAGGAATTGAACTATCAACTGTAACACAAGCCAAAACCGCTGCTAATTCTTGTTTTCTTCAGAGGAGCATGTACCTGTGTGTCAATAAATACAGAGCTTTAGCCCTGTGAATTTTAACATGGGATCGTGTGGTTCTTTTAACCGAATCCATTCATTGTCACTCTCTGAGTTTAAAAATCAAAATTTGGAACAAATCCACAATGAGGTTTTACTTCTAGGAAGCAGAGGGGACATTTTCAGCTCCAGGGAGAGTTTGGAAGATTAGAAATCTACACCAAAACACTATTCTGGTGTACATTGCCTAATGCAGGTAAGGTTAATGAGGAAAACATATTATGCTATTCCTCCAAGAAGAATGAGGTCTACAACAACCACAGTATGTGACTCCTAAGTTTCACTGGAGTTAGGATAAAAAAACCCACACAAGTCAGAATGACCACAATACTAACTGTAAACTGGTGTTTGGATATCAGATACCCTGGTATAACATGCAAAAATTCATGTTTTTAAAATTAATACCATGCCCACTACTACATCAGGAATTTACTAAAACACAGAAGACTTGAACCTGTAACCAATGTCTAGAAAACAGAAACAAGGCTCTTCCACTAGATAGGAATACCAATATAAAGTTGCTCTCAACAGAGTGGCCAGATAAAATATTAGCTATCCAAATAGAGACATGTGAAATCAGCTTTTATACATGATCAGAAGACTCTATCACAGCCCCTTGTTTGACTGTGCCTTGGGCAAAAGGTAGCAAGAGTTTTAAAAACAAACTAACAATTGAAATCCCACTGATACGGGAAAGCCAACTACGAAGTAACCGATTAATTATCTGTTGCTTTGTTCTTAGAGCCAGGATTGTCACAGTACACACTATCTTACCAACCTCATTTAACACTAGGTACACTGTTAAATAAATATGAACTACCACTCAAAACAGCAGTAAATTGCAGATAACAGCATGTGGCAAAATAAACAGTGTTAATAGTATTAACACAGAAGAAAAATAAGAGATGTTTCCTATCTATGAGGTGATAGGAAGTAGGATTTATCAACTGATCCTACAAAGAGCTTCAGCATTCACAAATGGATCAAACAAACACCACAAATTCTGAGATGATCCACATTGTTTTCTAATAAATACTGTTTTCCTTCAGCACCCTTCTATCATTTAGTTGATCTATTGATCCTCCAGGATTAGAGAAGAGGAACACACTACAGCAACCAACTTAGGGGGTTATCCAGTCTGTTGCAGACTTATCCCACTTCCCCTGAGAAACATCATACGGATATGGATCTTCAGCTTGTTGTTACAAAACAACTCTCACCCAACTTCAGTGCCGTAGTTGACTGACAGATCACTCTTACTGCCTCACAGCAAACAATGCACTGCAATAATGGGCTACAACCTTTTGCAAAGCATGAGAAGAAAAAATACAGCTTGTTCGTAATCTTTAACTACCGGATCCACAAACTAAACTGGGAGCAAAGGTTCCTTGTGGTGCAGTTTCTCTCAGAAGTGAGATTTAAATGACAGCAGTTAGTTTTCACTTGCTCTTCTCTTCCTCCCAGTTTTCCCAAGTATCAAGGATTCTAAACTCACTGTCTAACTTCTGTAACAGCTGACACTGGAGAAAGGCAATGAAGTTGCAAGATAGTTGCAGAAGAATTTGGCAACTGAGTAAAGAAGGGAAAACTAAATTAATGCCTGGGCTGATCCATAAGCAGAAGTCATTCATCATTTATAAACCCCACCTGGCCAAAGCTCCGCAGGCAGCAGGGCCTACAGAGCAGGGTGGGGAACGCAGCTCCCCAGAGCAGCTGCGGCGCATGAGCCGAGGCACCGAGAAGGTCACACGGGGAATTAGGGCCAGTGGCCCCAAGTCTGTAGATCATCAATCCCCTTTGGATCACGCAGAACAGCTACAATGAGGAATTTCACCTGGTCTCTGTCTCCCCAGACAGCAATAACTGTTTTGGCACAGCTGATTGATAAAGCAAATGTGTGCTAAGGCTCCCCTCACCGTCAGTGCTGGATTAAGGCAGCTGTATGGGTAATTGGGGGCTCACCCACCACCTGGAGCTGCAGCCACCTCCTCCCCTGGACAGCAGATCCTGTTCTCTCCCCAGGGAAAGCATTACTTGCAGAGCAGGAGAGAGAGCTGGAACCACCTTTTCTCTCTTCCAAGAAGAGACTTTGCACTAAATCAGCAGCTCTGGATTTGCAGAAAATTGTGCAAATCAGATGCATTGCTGGCAGGAGTCTGTGCTGCGATGGATTGCAGAACTGACACGTGCTGTTGATTCGGCTGTGCTCAAGATAGGGTTTGCTTATGTTCTCCATATGCCAGTCATGTCCTCCTTGCATGCATCTTTCTTTGCAATCAAATGCTCAAACTAGTATTCCTAAACTCAACTTAGTGAAATTCTTATTGCTATAGACAGCACTGGCAGTATTTCCCAATGAACTTCTACCTCTCTTTACACAGGAATGTTTTAAAATAGAGGCTTGCCAAAAGATTTATTCATTATTTCCTAAAAAGCACAGGAAAAAAATAAAATCAGTAACAGATGAGACCTGTGAAAGCTATATGGGTAACACCCCCAAGGAAAGTGTTTACAGCTGGGTCTCTCGGTTTCTGGGAAATGTGAGAAAAAACACACATTCTTTTCCTGCACATGACAGACAGAGAGACACAAACCAAAAAGGCCTCTTGCTGCAGGAACAAGTGCTCTCTGCGCAGCCGTCCCGGGCAGCAGCCTCCCAAGTGCAGAAGAGGCAGAGTCAGACCCGCACACTCAGCCTGCGTGGCTATAAAAGGAGCCCTAATGAAGCACGTTCCTCCTCCAGCTCATCTAGTCACCCAGCTCTGAACTCCTGGGCAGGCAGCAGCCCATAAGGCACCATAAAGACAGCAGCTTTGGTGGGTTCTCCACTCAGCCTCCTTGTTCTAATTAGAGCCAGTATGAATTAAACATGGTAATCAAGATAAAATATTTTCAGAGGCCAAGGAAATAAGCCACAGCTGTCCTTAGGATAATGAAAAGCTTTTGTAAAAGCTCAAAGTTGCAGCCAAAAGCTTAATATGCAGTACTGGTCATGCTCTGTATTCTTATATATTTACATAGCTTGCTTTAACCTGAGATTTCTGCAACCTTTTCCACACTAAAAGCATTTTTCATTATTCACAAAGCAAGCAGCATTGTAGATCCCAGTTAATTCACAGATTTCTATACTAGTATTGGTGCTACAGAATCTATAGCTTTCTGTCACTTACTAAAGCCAAC